CATTTTTGTTTAACACTAGTGAACAATAAGGATGTAATGATGCATCGTGTCACATCGTATTATGTTTTTTATTTAGCATTTTCTCTTGGGATACACTGGGTGCAGCCTCGCACCGCACCAGTTACGTGTAAGCGCTATACTCAGCTACACTACACTAGAGTGGTACACACCATGGTGTACACTACATCATTATTACGCTAAAACTCTGTTCCCATTTGACTTCCATTTTCAAATTTTAAATGTCACACTGGTTCTACATCGTCCCTTTGAGACGGTGTAGCAAAATCCTACTTCGTGCATAAAATTTGTACTACACTATTATAGTATAAGTACGTACAGTATGGACACTGAACTTTTTACGTGGTCTCCAATTTTTAGTGTGCATTCGTCGATTTCCAATCAGGAATGTGGCTGCCTTCAGCAAGTTGAAATTGTAGATCAGGTTAGGTTAGCTAGATCTCCTTCCCACAAAATATAATCAACCCTAAACAAATATATAAAATGAAGCTCGAAAGAATCTATCAGTAAAAAATGTAAAAAATTTATCTGATAAGTTATTCTGAGCTCGCATAACACAAGCCAGGCTGTCCAAATACAATATCAATGTGAGATTCTTCAAAGCAATCAAAGATCAAACATAATATATTTCTAAATTATCGAAAAATAATTGAGGCCAAGAAAAAACGTTATCCAATATCTATGTAACGGAAAAATCGGCAAAAGATCAGTTTAGGAGAATTTACTCGGAGATACTTCCAGAAAAATTTTGGGAAACCAAAACTGAAGACAATTATGAAATATTAGAAAAACATACAAAGTAGAATAATTGTGACGGAACATCTGGAAGAAAATGATTATATGCAGACATTTTTGTGTTTTACAGAGGACACTTCAAATTCAAATTTATTCTTGACTTTGATTGTACCTTTAAATATGACATCTGCAAAAACCTAAATCAAACATGTCTGGAAAAATTTTCAACAAGGCGTTACAAAGTCTTATTGACATTCAAGTTAAAGGAAGCGCCAAACTTAATTCAAAAGGAAAAGATTCGTATTGGAAATTAAATAGAATACCTTCATAAAACGGAAGTAAATTTATGTGGATGGATATTTAAATTATTTAAGGCAATATATTTTTTATTTTACAATAATAAATAGAAAAATCGTTCAAGTTGTAATCAATACCACATATACATATGCACACGAATACAAACACAACTTGTACCCTACTGCAAATTCCTATGGGAAATTTTTCTATGGATTTGTCTAACCATGGGTACCCGTAGTAAATTCAACTGATCTCTATGGGAGAAAGCTTCTATCTTGCTGTAAACTCTCATGGGTTATTTCATAGGTTCCTATAGAGGAATTATAAGATTCTGGCTGTGTTCCAAAATTTACTGTTAGTACTGAAAATCTATAGTTTTTGTTATGTGCACTGTAGATTTTCAATACTGACAGTAAATTTTGGAACACAACGTCTGTAGCAGCTTGTACAGTAAACAATTAATAACAACAAAGAAAAATATCAGGGCGTTCCTCGTCTCGAATCCAGGCCTGGTCTCTCCGAGTTGGTAGACTTCCATTCTGCCACTGAGCCCTGACGCTGATAGCTTCTCTGTTGTGCCTATTTCTTCTAAATTTCTTATAATAGGTATAGGATTTACACAGCATGTATATATAGGATAATATATATAGGATAATATAGGTAATTTTTCTACAAGTTTTATATAGGAATCTATGGCATCCAGTCCATGAAAAAAGGTTCCTATAAGATTGCATAGGAAAAAGAATGTGCACGTTGTTGCAATCCTAAATGATATACAAGATGTCCCGTATTTGGGACTATTTTTGTGTACAGATAAAGTAGATTAAACTGAATCGAAAAGTCTTGTATCATTTTATAATTTTTACAATAGTTAGTTTCTAAAAATTGCCGAATAAGCGCATAAAATCGACGCATAAGACAACTTTAAGATATTTTTCAGAGTTCTTTATGACATATTTTAAAGATGTTTTTTAAAGAATTCTTAAAGATACCTTAACTTTTAAAGTTGTCTAATGTGTCGATTTTAGACATTCTGCTCATTGGGTAATAATTGCAAAAATTGCAAAATGATAGAAGAGGACCTTCCAGTTCAATTTAATCCGCTCTATCTGCACACAAAAATAGTTCCAAATATTTTGAGATATCCTGTATAGTCCCAAAATAGTCACAAATATTCTGAGACACCCTGTATAGTCCCTATAATTTACATATTAGAGTGTATACACAAAATGCTATAACAGTAACCGACTGATGTAATTAATTCCACGTAAAAATCTAAGATAATTTTTCCATAACTCCAAAAAAAAAACTGAAAGTGATAAGGTGTGTTTGGTGACTCAAAAAGTCATGAGTATATATTTTCTTTATGGCAGTCAGGATTTTTTTTTACCTGACGTGGAACGTATCTCATTTATTAACTATTATCATGGCTTCCAGTTTTTAGGAGTTACGAATTATTCTCTCAAAATAAACAAAGTAAACAGCGAAATAAAAGTCAACGCATAACACATTTAATAAAAGATATTAGTCAAAGATACATAAAATAAAAAACGAAGAAGAACGGCGTATATTAATGTATGAAACAATTCAGAGAAAAGATAACATAACATAACATAACATTAAAAGTTTTGGCTGCGGGATTGAGCCCTCCTCAGATGTTAAATAAAGTGAATATAATAAAAATAGAAAAAGAATACATAAAAATAGATAAATAGTTCAATGTCGCAACAATTTTCATACATTAATATACGCCGTTCTTCTTCGTTTTTTATTTTATGTATCCTTGACGACTAATATCTTTTATTAAATGTGTTATGCGTTAACTCTTATTTCGCCGTTTATTTTGTTATACATAAAGAGTCTTTACACCGTTGTTATTTTATTCTCTCAAGTTGATATAGGTACCCACAGGAATGCGGAAGAGATGCCTCATGGGGACTAAATACTTATAGGATACTACACTTTGACGTATAGGAACATGTAGGTGCACATAGGACAAAGGCTGTGAGTGTTGCCATGTTTGACTGTGCTATTTGTGTTTATGTTCTAATGTTTTCCTTCTCCAGTCTATCCTTGTTGTCGTTCTTCTTCGAAAAGTGGTTGTCCTTGGCTGCGGCACGATATTTACCAGCACCCAGGCTATTTTCTAATCTGAATAGTCGTAAGATTAATATTTCAGGTTCGCGGAGCAGAGTGACGCTTTTTCCTGCCAGATTTCTTTGTTTTATGAAAAACATCAAATAAGTCTAATTTTATTGATTTTTTGTGTAAAAATGAAGGTTTGACAAGAAAAAGAATAATTTAGTTTCGCCACTGCCATATCAAAAATCAATAAACTTAGACTTACTTGATGTAATGTTACATAAAACAAAGGAATCTAGCAGAAAAAAGCGTTACTCTGCCCCGCGAGCCTGAGATATTAATCGTTAAAGTTTACGACTACTCAGATTAGAAAATTCGTCACAGCCACGAAATACTGCGATGGGAATAAATGCTGCGAATCATATTTTCATGTGAGGCGCGAGCATGAGTTTGATGGACTACGTTAGACTATTTAACAAATTTTACTGAAAATGCTAAGCTATTTTAATACCAGATCCATATCAGACACAAGACTAGGCCTTTTATCGATCATATCAGATTTTTTTATGAAGTTATTGCGTAGCAAAGCAGTGGCAAAGTATCGTGGCACTGACCAGTATCGTACCATTCATGGCATTCGTAGCACTGACGAGAAAATTTCTATCAGGGCACACACATGCAATTTATATATGCAACTGTTAAAAATCCTTCAATAAATTTCGGCTGTAAATTATTATTTAATATATTTGTCTTAATTAATATGTCATATAATCACAGGTAGCAAGCCGATAGCGTTTGTCATTAAAATGACAAATGTTTGTTTTTACATTAAAATGACAACTATTATAATAATGTCAGCATTGCTAGCTACATTGGCCTCAACAGAATGATAGATCGTAACTGAGTCATAAAACGCCAGTTATAATTGTAGATCAACGCACAATATTTTGGGATTGTGCATTGATCCAAAACTACGACTTAGGTTTGACGATATTTTAAAGCAGAGAATTTTTGTTTTTAAAGTAAATCTATTTTAAAGCAGAGAATTTTTGTTTTTAAAGTAGGAAATCTGTTTTAAAGCAGAGCTATTTTGTTTTTAAAGCAGGAAATTTATTTTAAAGCAGAGAATTTTTATTTTTAAAATAGGAAATCTATTTTAAAGCGGAGATTTTTTGTTTTTAAAGCAGGTCACTCAGGGTCCTAAATTTGACAATATATCAAGGTCAAGGTCGTTGACGCGGTGTTCCTTTAAGTGCATAACTGCCACATTTATTTTAAAGCAAAAAATTCTCGTGTTATATAGTAAAATCGTTTTTTGTTTAATAACTTTTAAATGAAGGACGAGCACTAACTCTAACCATCTGAAGGTCACTCAGGGTCATGACCTTGACAACATATGTCAAGGTTAAGATCATCCGAGCTGGATCCCCTATTGTCGATATTTATAAAAACAGGGAAATCAGATAAGGTTTTCATTTGTCTATGTTTATTTTGTGAATACAAAAACTGGACATATATAATTTCGTTTCACAGCAATAGTAGCAGCAACAGCAGCAGCAGCAATAGTAATTTCACGCATTAAACAACGAGTAAAATCGCAACTTTAAATTATTAATTGTTTACGTACTCTTTCGAACCGTGCCTATAAACCTTTCATTATGCGCTTTATCATTATATCATATTTAAAGAGAAATACCTATTATAAATACAAACGCGTTTCAATTCGTTTGTCACGCGGCCATGGCGATGGCATCTCTTTTATATATATATATATGTATATATATGTGTGTATATATATATATATAAAGTATTATTTTTTATTATAAGGCAAAAAAATGTGTGTGTGTGTGTGTGTGTGTGTGTGTGTGTGTGTGTGTGCGCGTGCGCGCGCGTGTGTGTATACATATATGTGTGTGTACATATATTTTTAGATAGAATCTGTACTGTGTGTTGTACAAACAAAGTGGATTTTTATGTAAAGACACATACGAGAATTCTGTGTTTTTAATGACGGCATAACACCTCCGCAGGTACGATTGTGTTCAATATATGAAAAAATATTTTCGTAATATTTGTAAAATACTATAACTTGTCTACTTTTTATCCTCGCAAAGGTACTTCAATATCTTTGTTCGTGGATTATCGCACGAAACGATCTTGCATATTCATATTAAATAAAGTGAATTATATATTAATATATATTGATTTTTCTATATTTTTGAACCTTTTTAGGACAGAGATATAAACATAAGTCAAAATGTACCGTATCAAAATATGTATGTATATATAACCGTATAAAAAAGTAATTTTTACAAAGGAAAAAATATAATCTATGACCCGACAATAATTACAGTAAAACTCGTTGCCAGATATCATGCGCCAAATTCTACGCATTAATTTTTACAATCAAAAAACAAAATATGTCATTTAATCGAAAAAACATTACCGTTTTATTATAATTACGACTATAAAGAAACAGGAAAAGAAAACATAAAGAGATATTCTGGTTTTAATCTGCTTAGAAAAAGAAAAAAGAACTGTACTTTATCCTGCTGTAAAGCGCAAATGTTTTATCACATATCTTATAGGCGAATACGTGTGTTGATAGTAGTAAAAATGAAGGTAAGATTGTTGTGTAAAGTCTTCCAAAACGACGTCTTTCACAAAGTTGCACTTTTACACACTGTAGCCTCTGCGTTCGGTGTTCCTTATGGAATTCGCCAGACATAATGCGAAGATGATACCAATCAGCTGAGAAAAATGAAAAAGGGCACGTATAATTACTGTAAGATATTTATATATAAAATGAAATATAAAACCGATATTCATAATCGGTTCTTATATTTGAGATTGTCTTAAATATAATCTTAAGATATCATAAGAAGGTTGTGAATTAGCATCATTACTTAAAACATTAATATAGTCTTAAAATAAACACGAAATATGAGTACCAACTAATTGTCCGATAGTGTGTCATTATATCAATGATTTCTCTAAACTGTTATTCGGATGTTAACTGCGTAGAAAGCACAGGAGACATGATGGAGACGTCATATAAAGAATGATGAATTTTTGTTCAAAATTATAGCTAAAATATAATACTAAGAAAATCAATGTAATTATGATACTCGTAATAAAAAAAGTCGTCTGCAGGTTCTATTAGTTTTTTAAATTTTTTTAGAAAAAAGAAAAAAGTTCTGAATGCAATTGAGATGCAAATATCTTTATTTATTATAATATTTTAAGAACCAAAAGGCTTCGCAGGATAAATATGTGTATGCTGCCCCCGCATTTATCTGATCGAAATTTTTACACTAAGTTAGCAGCGATGCAAGAATGAATTTCGCAAAATACTATAGGGCAGCTACGGCAAATACGCCACGCTGGAATTTACCGCAGAAAAAATAGAAGAAGTGGGATAATTTTTCCACAACTACTCTGTTACATGTCTTTATGTTATATTAATATAGTGTTAATTAATTATAGGTTTTTAGCTAATTTTAGGTTTTTAATATTAATGAAATTATTGTGAGTTAAATCGATTTGTGTAATAAGTAACGCCATCATAAATTATAATCTACATAAAATAATTACTGTAGGACGTGTAAAAAACTTAGTGATTATTTTGTGATATATACATACGTGTAGTAGAATAGTAAAGCATGTTGTATAGCAAAATACAAATGCTTTATTTTCGTATTCTTTGTTTAGTTTGTTGTCTTGTATATCCTACCTATTTGGGATATACGGGTATTTTTAACGAGTGGGATTTATGCCCAAAGCATATAAAGTACGCAGATTGAATTCAGTGCACTAAATGCAACAAATGCATTAGTATATGAAATATGTACCTCATGTCATAACATTTGTAGTATATGTAGGAAGATTGTAATTATTATTTATTATTTCATATATATATTTATTATTCTTATTTAATAACTTTATAAACACATTTTATAAGTTATTATGTCATTTTACGTCATATTTACATGTATGCATTATTTGTAAATTTTTCATGAGTCTTACATACGGCAAGGATTTCAAAAGTTTATTTTTTAATATGAAAAATAAATATTTCGAATTTCTAATATTTTTTTCATAGTAGTAGACGGTATAAAATTTTTACTAATATAGTTCGTTTACTTTATAATAAATAACACTTAATAAATTAAGTTTTTGACAGGTGCGGCGTATATATCGAAATTATTCTATCTGAAAAAAATTTTTTATGGGAGCTATAGGGGTAAAATTGGAAATCGACAAACCGAATTTTCTCTTTAATGGATAAACCGATTTCGACGAAAGAAAAATATGTTATGGGGTTCAATGGTGGATGTTTAATCCTAGAAAGCCGGACTTATTTTTGTTTACTTTCCCGATCTAACTAGAGTATCTGAAACCCTGCAATTTCGTTATGCTATATCTCTAGATTGAATGCGTACTTTTTAGCTCAAAATGTGTGAAATTTATACCTCAAAGTCAGACAAAGACAGAGAAATATGGATCAAATAAATAATATTTTATCTTCAATTAATTAGAATGCTTCAAAAAACTTTTATTGAAAAAATTCGCAAAAAATGACTATTTTAGATAAAAAATTTTCAAATTTTTAAATTTAATGTTCAAGGAAAAATCCGTAGAATTTTTTAAATTGACTCTTTGGACTAACAAAAAAAAAATAGTACAATATGAATCATTCAAAAAAGTATAATTATTTGAACTATCGAAAATCGACCTTTTTGAAGAATCTACATATTTTAAGTTTACAATTAATAAATAAAATTTTATTATTTGAACAGAATAAAAGAGTAAATAATATAATAATATAAGTAGATAAAGGATTGTATATGTATAAATATTATTATAATATGTATAATTATTTAAGTTTATTAGGAGTTAGTTTAGAAGATGATGCAACACTCACTCTAAAGCAATAAATCCGCTCCGGCCGAGCGATCTCCAAAGACTGACAGAAATTATAAAATTTCTACTATTTATTATATTGAAATTCTTTTTAGTTCTACATTTTCGGGTACTTCTTTCATACTATTCGAAACTCTGTAAACGTATATTTAATAAAAAGGGATACTCAGATCGTCGAAAACTTACAAGTTAGTCACGTGTGAGTCTCAAGTATCCTCTTTGAACTTTCATGCTTTCATTCTCACATCGAGAATAACGCAAAAAAAGTATCCTTGCAGACTCATTATATCTATGGACAGGTAAAGTTTTTTTTCAGCCTCAATCCGGGTCTTTAAATTATATTATAAAAAAGTTATAACTTGCTTACAGCAATGTAAAAAATCGCATAAGGTACGTTGTACCCATGTTCGGCTTCCTAGGGTTAAAAAAATTATGAAAATTTTTTTTCGAAAAAAACCGGTTGAAAAGTTTTTAAAGTTTTTAATATTTTTTTAAAATACAATATACTTGAAATACTACTACCATTTTGTACTAAAATGATTTCCAACTTATCTAGTAAAATATATTTAATTTTTAAAATAATCGGAAAAGCAATACATATAGCCACACTTAACAACATTAAATGTTAAATAAGGACAGATGAAACCGAGGCATTGGAGGCATTCGAGCGACGCTTCCGAACGCAGCCCGTATATTGAAATTATGATGAAACGGGAGGGGGGGGGGATGTACGAAACTGTGGTCCAATTAAAATAAAAATTATTTTTGAAAGCATTTTTAGTAAGGAACACGAAAAAAAAATAATAAAAAAATTCTATAATCAATATTTACTTTAAAAATCATAATTCAATTTTGTGATCAATTTGATAATTTTAAACAATGATTATCGACTAAAATGTTCAAGAGGTTATTCAGAACATTAAAACTCTCACTTCACCCCCCCCCCTCCGCTACGGGGCGCAGGACTTTTCATGTAAAGCGATCCCCACCTCACCTCCTCTCCTACTACAGGATGTACGATTTCCACGTGAAGGTATGATTTTTTTGGCTTATAATTGTTGGTTATTTTGGCATCTGTTGGTTAAAGAATTTTTTTACTATTTTTCTCGTATTCCTCGCTAAAAATGCTTCCAAAAATCACTTTTATTTTGAGGGGCCACAGTTATGGTAATTGTGCCAAATCAGACCTAAGAGTATATTCAAGAATCATTATAATAATCTAAATAACTCTAAGCTATAGTTTATGTTACGTATACTATATAACAAAAGTGCACCAGAATTATCTGGATGTAATTTCTGGACGTACGATTAAAAAATATTCTGAAGAAATCATTGATATAATGATGCATTGTTCGAACAATAGTTTCGTGACTGTATATGTATATACTATGTACAGGGCGTTTCTTAAATAGCGCCCACTAAACATATAACGCTATTCCTAATAAAAAATTGAGTCATTTTTTTCTACAACGTTCAATGAAACAGTTTACAGAGTATCAGTTTACAGAGTAAAACTGATAAAAAATTCTAATAAAAAATTTAGTCGGAAAGTCCTGAGTCATTTTTTTCTATGATGCTCGATGAAGTAATTATTATCAAGTAAAGCTAATCCAATCGACGCCGTCCTTTAAACGCGTGCACATCAATGAACCACGCGTTTGATAGTGTGCGAAAGCGTGTATTATCGGACGCGCGGTTCTCTGATGTGTACCTGTTTAAAGGACGACGCGAAATTACAAGTTTACTCGATAATGATAATAATTATTTCATCGACTCAATTTTTCAGAAATACGACTTTTCGATTCAATTTTTTATCAGAAATAGAGCTATATGGATATTAGTGGGCGACTATTTAAGACTAATTAATAAGAAATACCCTTATATATATAGTGCGGAAAATACGCACGAACTTTCCGGACGACCCAATATATAATTTTTTGCGCGCTGAAAATATAAAAATACACATTTGAAGAATTTATATATATATATATATATATATATCAAATGTGTATTTTTATATTTTCAGCGCGCAAAATGATAGAACGTTGCCATGAATTATAAATATAATAAATTTTAAAGTAGGCTTCTTTGAGCTAACAAGGAGAGACTCACACAAGTATTACGGATTTTGATCAGTTTTTGTATGGTTATTCTTGGGCACCAAAAAATAATCCCTGTAAAGTAGTAAATTGCACTTCTGTGTATTTTTTGAGAAAATCGTGATTTTAGGTCACAATGACGGATCGCTTTCAAATCTGGAGAATCAATAGATATTTGAAAAACGAAAAATTTTTATGCATCCTCCCCAATCAAGCGTCCCGATCACTCGCGCTCGAGATCACCGTGTGGCGGCGATTTTGCCTTAATTCTGCGAAATTCAAACGATGAAGAAGAAGGTTTCGCAATTTTCCTTTTTTCACCTACAATTTCGGCCATTCTGACACAAAGCCGCCTAGCGTTACATGAACTGACATTACATCTCATCGTCCCCGCTTTCGAAGTCGCTTTTGAAATTCTATCTTCCGCTGCTTTGTTTCGCCACGGCTTCATATTAGCTGCTTCTCAAATACTCTGGTAAGACCGTTGAGATACCTGGCACCCTTCAAGGTTAGCCACAATTCTTTAGTTTACGAACAACAAAATAAGGATCTCTGTATATCGCAGCTAATTTCTCGCCTGTCGTCTCGAAATTCCCACAAGGTCACCTTCGCAATATTCTTGCGCCGCCTTTCGTCTTTTATTTATATACTCCTCATTATACTCACGCGATTCTTTCGACAGCGTTAGCTCACATCCGCGTCAAGTCTCTTACATCTGATTCATTCTGATCCTCTACATATTATCTTAATACATCGACTACGTGACCACACTGCAGCAAATAATAATCGATAAAACTAGGAGTTTCGCTTATCGCTCAACTTACAGTATTGTTCATGGCGAATTCGATTTCTCCTAATGATTTGTGCCAGTCTTTACTGTCATACAATTTCCCTATTGCCGGTGTTATCGCTCGCTACCCGTTTGTCTGGGGTAACGCGGTCGCTACCTTTACATGTTTCACATTAGTTTCGTCCATAAACTCTTCGAATTCCTGGAAGTAAAACTGATTCCCCCATCTGATATTAAAATCTTCAGTCTACTATAAGCGCTAAAGTAATCTTTAAGACATCCGAAGTTGTTTTCTTGGAAGTTGTAGTCTTCACCGCGTACAGTTTTACAAAGGTACACACATCAACAATTAGAATCACGTATTTCTTCAACGCTTACGTTCTACGGGACCAAACTGATCGACGTGTATAGTTTCGAAGGCATAATTCCTTTGAATATGCTATGTATGAACCCGTTGGTCCTTTCTGATAGTTTCGAAAAAGCAATATACTTCGTACAATTTCTAATATACTCGCGGACTTTAGTCTTCATATTCCAACCAATATGTTTCCTACAATAATTAAATAATTAAATATTGTTCGCTACAGTTTTGTCCTTTTCGAGAGTCCAAATTCATTATGATACTTATGAAGCAAATCCCGTTCCATCGCTCGCGGAACAAAAAATCTGATCACCTCTTTTGCGATACACGAGACCATTTCGCATTTCATATAAATTATCCTGCTTTCTTTCCAAGCGTGCCCTCAACTCTTTGATAGTCAGATCCTGCATTTGGCGGATCAGTTCAAACTCAAATGTGTTGGTCTCGATCACTAAGATACTGTTTGCTCTGCTTAACGCGTCTTTGTGCTATCTCCTCTTTCTCAGTCTATGCTCTATTGAACTCGAAATTTTGTAGTTCTGATGCCTAAACGCGCGATTCTTGGATGGATATCCTTTTTATTTAAGGCCACGACCAACACGTTGCAGTAAT